ATCCACCTAAAACTCCCAAACACTTTTCCTTAGAGGAAGGACTTAGAAGAATTCAAAATATCAATACTACTAAAATCCCTACTATGCAAGATTTTGCAGATGTAATTATGATGTTGAGTATAAGACCCGCCGAAGTTGCCACTCTTCGTATTATCCATTATGAACCCAGTGAATCAAATCCTCTTAAATGGTACAAGCCTGGTTATTTTTGGTATTGTATTGGGTATATTAAAAATAAAGGAGAAGCAAAAAATAATCCTGAACCTCGGCAATTTTTATCCATGGAAAAGAATCCAGAATGTGCAAAAGAATTGCTTACCTGGATCCAAGATGCAATAGCAATTAGAAAGTTACGCAATCCTGTCTATAGTATTAATGGAAAACACAGTACAGGGGTATTTAGTAAATTTTTAAAATCATATAATATTATAGCCAAAAGATTAAAAAAAATTGGAGGCAAACATGCTTCTAGAGTTCATGGTGGTCAAAATCCAACTTCGCAACATCTTGAATTCCTTAGCAGAGTTGCAATGAGGTATAAGATGGATCATCATAATTCTGGAATATATTATGCTGAGGGTGATACTTCCGATTCCGACCTTGACGCAGATCCAGAACCTGAACCCGAAGCCCTAGCTCCCACACCCAAGGCAATTAATAAGAATACTTCTGAAATTGAGGATATCTATGACTTATATGGGAGTATTTAGATTAGTTCACTATAACCCAACTTCATCCCTTCGGGCCTGCTTTGCAATAAATCTATCTGGAAATAATCAGACCTATTAGATATTTTTTAGTAAAGTTATATATGCTAATCAACTCACTAACCACACTTACCCTTAAGCTAAATTTTTTGCCGGCAAAGATTGAGCGATGATCCTTTGGATTAAGTCTTTAACTCTCCTGGCCCATACTAAATAATTCGTGAATGAACAGATCGCCAAACCTGAAATTAGTTTTCATAAATCTGCAAATTAGGTTTGTTAGTCGTGAGGAATAAACTATATAAAAAAGCTAAGTATAAGTAATTTCGTTGTTAAAAATTTATTTGGTATCTAATCATTATTATGTCTTTTACTAATCTCCAAAACTTTGCTTTTAATATTTTAAAAGAAACAAAATATAACATAGTACAAGATATTATTGTTACAGAATTGCCACCATGTAAACTATGTGAAAATAAAATATTATCTGTTAATTTTAAATCATTTACAATACTTTCATGTAGACATACATATCATAGAAAATGTATAGAAAAAAAATTTTTACTTATAACAGAAAACAAATGCCCTTTATCTGATTGTAATAAAATTATTGATCCAGTAGTATTCGAACGAAGGTTTTTTGAATCATCATCTCAGTCTAGTGGAACTTCTGCTCTTGCAGAAATGTTAGGTGATAACTTTGGATTAGGTTCTCCAATGGCTGTATCACCATTATTAGGTCAGCAAGACCCCCTACTTTATGAAAGTAAAACACAAAAAAAACGTATTATAGAATCACTAGATAAATCTGATAAAAGACAGAAGTCAACTACTAAGAAGAGTGAATCTTCTACAGTAAAAAAACTTATTAAAGAATTAAAAGATGATAGTGTTAATAAAGATTTAATATTTGCTTCTCAGTTATCTGAAGATAGTTATACTTATCTTTACAAAGAAATTGTTAAAGCCGAAGCTGATAATGATATTGCAAGTCAAAATATTTTAAATTGTTACTTTGAATTTGGTAGAAAGTTATCCGATCGCTTAAATTATTATAAAAATGAAAAAAAATATCGAGATCGTAAAACCCAGAGTAAAGTAGATAAAGAAGTAAAAGACCAATTGCCTAAAGAGATTAATGATACTACACATTGGAAACAAACAGAAAGAGCCCAAAAAATATATGAGCTTTTCATTGAAATTGGTATTGATAAAATGCAACAGGTTAAATCTTATTCGGCACTAAGAATTTCAAAATTAAGTTGGAAGAGCATTGACTATATTACAGAGAACTTTAAATCATAAAATCATACATATACTGCACCTTGTATAACTGTTATATAGCTGACCTCTGGGTCAGCGACTTTTATTTTATTTTTATTATTTCTACTGTATATCGAGGAATGTTATAATAAATTTATATAAATTTATTTTATAACAAAATGGCAAACCAAATTTCATACGTATAAGCTTATGTATAATTTGTTTGTTTGTAAATATAAACACAAGTGCTACATATTACAGGTTTGTATTGTATAAAAAAAATTTAGCCACGTATATTATTTTTTTATGTATAATATATACAAATGATAAAAAATTGAAATAACAAACTTACAAATAAAAAAAGACAAAATCACTTTGAAAAGTAGCATATCTTTAGAGGGTAGAAGCATGGGTGTAAGGTTTGTGACGAATGCAATCATCATTCACACCTATATTGCAAAATGTGCAAAAAAGTAGCGAATAGAATATATAAGCAGTGTGAATGCGATAACGTGTTAGAGTAAATTTTGCATACGTATAAATTTATCTGTACTATAATACCTTACAAAGCTTATCATTATGTATAACTCATATGGAATGAGTAAAAAGTACTATTTTTAAGTTTTTCTCGAAATAGTTCCCTAACTCAAATTCGGTCAACAATATTTGTACTGCTATTCAGAGAAGAGCGAAATCCATTTATAAAGGGGAGTATAATGAAGTTATGGAAGTTTATCGTTTTATAGTGATTAAAAAATCAAACTAATATTTATTGCTTCCAAAATGTCTAAAAATTATTTTTATCTTAACCACAACTAACAAAGCAATGTATTGTATTTTAAAGAATGGTTGCCAAATGTCCATCTACCGAAGGTTAAGACTTTGAGAAGAAACAACATTAATATAGCAGAATCTTAATACCGCCAGGAGCTAGAAGAGGCTATAACTACATATAGGACAAATAATTCAAAAAATAAGCGAAAGCTAGTGGAGATCTTATCTCAGTTTAACGCGACTTCTAAGGTATGTAATAAAAAATGGTTTATCTATTTTTTCGAAAGATGATGAACAATTTTGCAGAAGGGGATAGAAAAATAACAACATAGGCCTATGTTGCTGTCTGTATCTGGGTGTATGTGATAAAGTTTTTGCATATGTTTTAGCTTATAGAACGCTAGCACCGTAAGCATCGAAGGGTGTAGTTCAGGGGATTCATCATTCCGGTGTGGGTCTCACACTAGGTTCGGTATGAGCTATGCCTTGTGTACCTCGTCGCTGACCATGGGCATGGATCCTATTTATATTATAAAAAATGAATAACTTTGGAATAGCTGATTTCATATATTATATTATATAATTATATTATCTTGAAGATACTAGATTAAGTTATTTTTCTTCTGTTTTAGGAACAACATCAAAAATTTTATAAAGAAGCTTGGATGGGAGAAAAGGAGAAAGTAAGTATAAATATATATATACCTCATACTATCTAAAACGAAAAGTGCTTATTTTTTTTCATTTTTTACTAATATAGTGACAAGCTATGGAACAGGAACGTAATGTTAATATAATTCAAGAGAATATAGAATTTATATTAAGTGGATGTGTAAGTAAATATCATAATTTTAATTTCTGGTGTGTTTATTGTTAATTGGAAAATATTATCTATAGAGAGTTAAGCTAGAAAATAGTTGCTCGGAAGCTACTATGGTCGCATATACTGAAATTGTTTGTCATTTGGAACGCTTAGATCCAGCAATGATTAAACCAGAAGTTCCTTTAGCATCTGGTATTATTGATATCTTCAGAAATGAAGACCTATTTGTAAATTTGTTATCGTCTAGGTCTAAGCAAATTTTGATGCACCATGAGTTCGGCAATAATGAATTTCTGGAAGAAATTAAATTCATAGTGGACAATTTCATAAACACATATAAAGATCTGAGATCTGACTTTGATCCTGTGTTAATGTGACCAATAGCCTTTCCACAAGGAGAAATGTCTATTGAATCCAGACGTATACTGATGGCGGTTTTTGACTTGTTAGAAGGATTGTAAGTTATTTGCATTAAGTTATGTATATATTTATATAAGGTTATATCATTAATTAAGAGTATTTCTAATTCTAGGCAATATATTTAGAGTTTGAGACCATTATTAACGGAAGATGATTACAGCGAGAACTCATATGTAATTCATGCTGTATCAAAGGTTTTAGATCCA